GGGGGGGAGGAGATGCGGCCGGCTGCGCGCGGGAGCCGGGCGCGAGCAGAGCGCAGCCGCGAGGGAGGCGCGGGGGAGGCGAGCCGGAGCCAGGGCGCTAGCAGCAGCCGGTGTCGGCGGGGAGCACCCGGGCGCAGCCGGAGCCGCAGCCGCGATGGCCGTGGCCGTGGGGAGACCGTCTGTGAGTGCCGGGCCTCGCCTCCCTCGCGCGCTGCTCCTCGGGCGCGGGTGGGGACCACGGCGGCGCCAGGCAGGGGCTCTGGATCGTGGCGGCGGTGGCTGTGGGTGTGTGCGTGCATTTGGGCGCGCGTCTGGGGCCGAGGGAGGGTGAGGAGCCCAGACACTCAGTTACTACGTGATGCAGCGGCGTGTCGCTCGTCGTACCCCTATTCCGGGGATGTGGATGAAAAAGGACCCCTCTCCTGGGTTTCCGTTCAGCGGGTTCCTTTAGCCGCGGCATCTCTCAGCCGCCTCCCTCTCCCCGCGCACACCTTCTCCCTCGTGACAGTGGAGAAGGGCGCCGGGTGCGGGGGTTTCCTGCCGGCTCCCTCGCGCCGAGGGGCGGCCAGGGCGTGGGAACTGTGAGCCGAAGCGCGGTGTCCCACGGCCGTAGAAGCGGTCGAAGGGTGGGATTTCCGTGGTGGCCTCCCCAGTGCATTGTGAGATCCCGGACGCCCTCAGGCATCCACCCGGGCGACCGGGCCCTGCCCAGGATGTGGACAAAGCCCCGGACACACACACACAAAGTTTTCAAGAGGCCCCTTGTCGGGGCGGGTGGAAGCATTGAAATGCGCTGCGGCCGGCGGGCCGAGGAAGCTGCACCGCGAGGAAGAGGAAGGAGGGCGGGCGCGTGGAGAACCGGGGGCCCGCGGCCGGGGCGGAGGGAAGGATGCGCTGCCCGAGTGTGTGGGCCAGGCGGCCGGGCAGGGGCTGCAAGACTCCGGCCGCAGCGGAGCGGGAGGGTGCGGTTCGGGGGCTGCCCGCATCCCCGGGTGAAAGGCGGAGGCGAGGGGCGGCGGCGGCCTTTGCTTTCTATTGAAAGGAGCCGAGCTGGGTGGGAGAGGCGTAATCCTCTTCCTCTTTCCCTTTTTCTTGGTCGGTGTTCAAAGTCCATGTTCGCCTCATGGGCTTTGTAGGCGCCTCGGATGAGGTCCTTCCGCGTCTTCCACCTCTTCTTCCGTTTTCAAGAGGCCCCTTGTCGGGGCGGGTGGAAGCATTGAAATGCGCTGCGGCCGGCGGGCCGAGGAAGCTGCACCGCGAGGAAGAGGAAGGAGGGCGGGCGCGTGGAGAACCGGGGGCCCGCGGCCGGGGCGGAGGGAAGGATGCGCTGCCCGAGTGTGTGGGCCGGGCGGCCGGGCAGGGGCTGCAAGACTCCGGCCGCAGCGGAGCGGGAGGGTGCGGTTCGGGGGCTGCCCGCATCCCCGGGTGAAAGGCGGAGGCGAGGGGCGGCGGCGGCCTTTGCTTTCTATTGAAAGGAGCCGAGCTGGGTGGGAGAGGCGTAATCCTCTTCCTCTTTCCCTTTTTCTTGGTCGGTGTTCAAAGTCCATGTTCGCCTCATGGGCTTTGTAGGCGCCTCGGATGAGGTCCTTCCGCGTCTTCCACCTCTTCTTCCCCTTCCCAGCTGTGCAGCTGCAAGTGGAGGCTTGAGAGATTTTGTAGTTCTAGACAAGTCTTGCGGAGGCACTGGAAGCCCTGAAACCCCAGAAATGCAAGACTGTGCTCTGACTCCCGGCCCTTTCCCCTTCCCCTCCTAACTCTTCCCTAGATACCCACGCCTTTTGCACCCCCGCGCCCCCGCCGCCGAAGTTCTCAGGGTCCTTCTGAGTTAGTAACAGCCGCGGTGTTTTCAAAGACATTTTCCATGGCCAGAAAATGTAGAAAATGTGCAGTGGTGATATGGAAGTGTAACTGTGGGTCTTTTAGGTCTTTAAAACTCTATTTAATGACATACTCTTAAGAATTCTGGTCTTCTCTTGCACGCAAATTGTGCTCTTGATAATTAGTGGTCATAGATTGTTGTTACCGAAGAAATTTGCATAGTTTTTGGGTTAATCCCTTTATTTTTCTGGTGAGGAAATTGAGGTCCATTGAGGTCAAGTTTATCTGGTTAAATTGCTCCTCCGTCCTCCCCGCCCCCCTCAATTCCATGGCATAGACTCAGAGAATTAAAACAACAATATCTGCTTTAGATAAATTGGCAAGACAGTCTAGGAATGCAAATATTCTGAGTGGAGAGTGTCTTTTTCAGTAACACCTATTGCTGGCACATTCTCTTGGGGGAGGTGGAAGAAATAATTCGTTGCACATTTTCTATAAATTAGTTAGTTCATATATGTCAGTTAAATAGGAACAGTATGTGTATTTAAGATTTAGTTGTGTGGCCATAATCATATCCAACACCAGGTCTGCCACCCATATGTGAGCTTAATCCCACAGAATTCTTGTGTAAGAAGATACACATTAGATACCCATTAGATAATAGAGGGGATTTTTAAAAACTATATGTGTACAGAGGAGGTGACTTCTTTCTGCACATTCTCTGTTGTTGCTGGAAATAAGATTAAATTACAACTTAAAAACAATTTTTTTTCTGAGTTGTATTTGTGATCAGAAATTGACTACAAAGTTGAAAGTCTTTTAATACACTACAGGAAAACATGTGATCACATTTGCAAGGAATTGTTGAACTGTTTCACTTTGTTCATTGGGTTACTGTCTTAATCTTCAAAACAACCCAGTGAGTGCAGAAGATTCTCCAAGCCCGGATCCCAGTGATCTGCACTGCATCTTTAACCTTGGAATTCTCTGCCCCTTTAGTCCCCTATCTATTCTATGATTTGAACAAAAGAAAGGAAGAGTTTGCTGAGGGAAAAGGATCACTCCAAAGCTGATTTATATATGAATGGAGTTTCCCTCGATACTTCTTTGAAGTAAGATTTTTTAAAAAGTTGTCTAGGAAAACATGAGCACATCTCCTTTCCCTACAAACTGTCTCTCCCGTCCAGATTAAAGAAAAATTCAATCTAAGTAACTTGTTCTGAGTTTTAGAAATTCTTGCATTGGAACATCTTAGTGTGATATCCCGGGTATACATGACATTTTGATGGACAAAAATGATTGTATGTCGAATGCTGTGTTTCCTGGCTTATGAAGTGGTTATATTCAGTTACAACCATTTAAGCCTCAAGGCTAACTTCAGATAGGAGGGTACTTAAAAGAAAAAATCTTGGAAAAATAGAATTGAAAGATAATATGAATTTAAGTGGCTTTGTTGTTGACTGCAAAACAAAAGTTTCAGTTTAATGTGATACTGTTTATTTCCATTTTAATCTCTAGCCCTAGCTTCTCCATTTCTCCACTGATGGTTTTAAGGCTTGGCCCTGAGAAGACCCTGAAGCACAACTGCTTTTTCCAGAGTGTAACTGATGATTAGCAAGAGCATTTCCACATCCTACCCCCTCTGCTGGGATGTATCTACATTTTGGACAAATTAGTATTTTTGCATCTAAGTTGTAGGGCAGCTATTATCTTTATTTTAAAGGGAACATGATAATTTACTCTACCTAAGAATCAGGCTTTATGTAGCTGATCCACTCTCTCTTAAGGTGTGGTGTTCATCAAGATGTGGATTCTAGGAGTTCAAAGCAACGATAGAGGTCATTTGGTTCAGCCTCCTCCTCATTGCAGAAATATTTTTTCCTTTATCTCTAACAAAAGGTATGTGTTTCAGCTTTTCCAGTGGTGGAGATTTAGCTATGATATCCTTCAAGAAATGCATTTAATTGTTCTTCTTTCTGTTGAGCCAAAAGAAATGGAAAACCAAGTTCACTATTCACTCACTTAACACTATTTTTATTGAGTGCCAGGTACTGTTCTAGGTTTCGGGGATACAGCAGTGTACAAGAGAGAAATTTCCTTCCTACCTCAAGCTTTTATTTTCTGAGAGATATAATGTCTGTGTGTATTAAAGTGACAAATTTCAGTGGAGTGTGTAAAACATTTAGGGAGAAGGGGGATTATGTGCTTATTGCTGAGTCAACAATTATGATTCAGATAAAGGATCTCATCTCTCAGGGGATCACTGTAGACAGTTATCTAAAGCTTTGTCTATCTTCATCTTTGGGGGTTGGGGTAGGGGGAAGGAGGTACTGACAATGAAATGTTATTTTTCCTTGTTGTAAAGTTGCCATTTCTGTGTCTTGAGGATGTGGTCCCAGATGGAGAACTCTGACTGTTGTACCTGGAAAAAGATTAATGGAGCTGAAAAAGGTCCAGGGGAACGTCATCTAAATCATAAAGGGGTTGTGATCTAGGGGGTTCTAATTTTAAAAATTAGAACTCTTTAGTCAGTGGTATAAATACACACATTGAGGCTCTATAAGCAATTACTAAGGAATGTAAGAAGTAATTGAGGTGTAGTAGTCCTGCCTTTTTAAATCTTTTGAAAGCTGTAGATGAATTTTATCTTCTAAATTATCTTTTTAAAAAATGATACGTGTACACTACAGTGAAAATTAGACTCAAGAAATTGATTCAAAGAACAAAACTACCCATATCGCACCATCTCGATATAATAGCTCTTAGATTGTTTGTGTATTTTCATCAACTTTTTGAGGTTTATATCAGCAAACATAACCCATCTTGAATAAACTGCTACTTAAAAACCAAGTTGTGTGTTGGATGGGCCTTGTCCGAGCATTTGAACACTCTTATAGGGGAAGAAACAATACTTCATGTTTGGTTATGGGCCACTCTATGTCTGTGTCTAGACAAAGGAACAAATGGTTGTGGGACTGTGCTATTTGCATGATTTGGATGGCCTACTTTGATTGATTGCCAGAAGACCAAGTGTTTTTACTCACTGATGATGCTACACTAATCATTATTACCGGGTTTATACTCTGGTGCAGGGTACAGAGTTTTCTGTGCCTGTTTCTCTTTATATACCTCAAACTTGGTTGGGGATCGAGGCTGCTAGGATTTTATTGTTTTATCGAGATCTGTCTTTCATAGCCTTAGCTAGACTTGTCTAAACTGGGATCATCAAAGCCGAACCATTATTTAAACAAAGACCCAGCAGATCTAAACCCTTTTTCCCAAGGAGACCTGCTTTACAATATAATTGATACCCGCTTTGTTTTACTTTTTTAAAAATCCAGATTGACAGAAAACTGCTGTCCA